TGAACGCCTGTCTTGCTTTTCCGATTCTGATTTTGACATCCTTGTCTATGCCGCCTGTAGTCGAAACAGTGCTGCCTAGATAGGTGAAGGAGGCTACTTCCTTTAAGTTTCTCCCATGATGGTGATTGCAGCTATTTTTGTTGGTGGTGGTGGCGTTGGTTGGGTATCATCATCACCCCCGCCTTCTCTATATTCACTTGAAGTCCCATCTACGCAGCACTGCCTCTCCTGTCAACTTGTTAGTTTTCGCCTGTAGATCTTCAAGAGTGTGCGACATTAGACACCGGTCATTGGCGAAATCCAAATCTTCTAGGATCTTTTCCCCGGTCCGCATATCCCCCTCTTCTCGCTCCTCACAGTTTGTTGCATGATCCAGTCCACTGCAATCAGGAATATATGGGTAACAGTAGACAGCCTTGTCTTACTCTTTCCCGTCTTCAATTCAAAGGCATCACTGAGCTTCCCATTGTCAATCACTTGGTATGTGGCGTCTTTATAAAGCTGTTGAATGAGATTGGTAAAAGTTTGTGGTATTCCATAGTGTTTGAGCGATTGCTAAATTACCTATCAGTCGATGCTGTGGAATGCCTTTTCAAAGTGATGAATTTGAGGTGGAGAGTGAGATAACTGATTCAAAACAACTTGAAAAGAGATCTAAGAAGATAAAGGAACTACGAACACCTAAATACATGCAGGCATGAAAAGAAGGCCGAATAATAGTCAGAACAAAGTGTATCAACATTTCATGAAGTCAACTACATTTGATGTGAACACATGTAAGAGACGGCAGAGGTTTACGCTGAAGATCACCTCAAGTTGACAGTGTCGGTGAACATGTCCTGACATTATTCATTCACAAGCATTAGCATTATGCCATTCTAGTGACATGAGTCTCTAACCTCTTGTATTGGTTACTAAACTGCCGCTTCAATTAAATGTTTAAGTCAGATGATGAAGATGATGTTATTCGTGAATTCGAATCCCCGAAATGAATGAAGCGTGAATCACACACATCTAGGAACCATTAACAAGCCTTGAATATGATACGTTAGAGATATGACATCACTCCACATAGTTAGGTATTCTTGGTCCGAAACGAAGGAATGCAGTAAAAACCAGATTGATTGGTTTATTTGATATTATTCATAGTGATACTCGACCATTACCGGAAATTGATGACTTTGAACTTTGGATAACATACTTCAATAATGGTTACGACACTGAAGCATAAAGCATTTATGAGGTTGTTTTTACTTCCTGTTTTAGCGTTACTCTTAGCCTCTGATTTCTTGTTCCTCAATGCCACTGACAGAATTATTTCCGATCTTAGTAGCTTCTCGCTGTCATACTGATCTGAATAGAAATACCATCGTGTTGAACCTTACGCTTTCCCTGTCCGCTTTGCTTTGCACATACTACCCCACGCGTATCCTTTCCCGAAACATGAAGTCCTGACTTCGAAGACCAGGCAAAGAACAATCAACTAATCGGTCATATTTTCGAATCACGCTCTATTCGTAAACGTTTTGAGAGCCAAATTTTATTACTATCCCTCACATACCGGATGTGACTAATACGCTAATACGCAGACTCATATATTATGAGATAATGGGGAATATTTGTAGCTCAGAATTAGAGTTTTGGCAGTGTAGTTTACCTGAGCAGGAAGTCAAAGATACAGGAAACAAAGGAAGTTCAATTAGTAAATCCGGTCAAGTTATATTTGGGTGATATCAAAAGAAATGAGGGATGTTCATGAATGAGTGAGATAAGATTAGAAGTAAGTAGAAAAGGTTGCGTAACTATGTGAAATTATTATGCTAACAAAATGACAAGTGGGTGAGATAAAATCATCATAATAGTAACAAATACAGTAATAATGAAACGATAATCAATAAAAATATGGATATGAATAAGCGCAAAATAAATAAATTTAAGGAAAAATGGGAGGGCGAGGAATCATTAATTATCAGATTCATGATAAATTGATAACTGTCTTCTAAACACACAGTTCCGGTTGAACTCATCGGATAGTGATGGTCTCGGCAATTCGAAGCAGGTACAAGTTGTTTTGCCTGTTGACTAACATAAAGGATTTCGTTGCTTCTACTTGATGTTCCATATCACAGAAGTGACAAGCTTTTGTACTGTTGAACGAGGATGGGCCTCTGAGATGTAGACTCTTTGACATGTGCTCTGCAGTTCTGGTAGGTAACCGGCTCTCTGATCTTCCTACATGCTACTTCATGTACGTATGAACTGATTAACATAGTTGGAAATAACAAGAGTTGACAATCTGTATAATTTGTCATGTTGTTTGAGACACTGAGACAAGTCTGGCAGCCAGACAGGTCCTCGACAGTACACTCCTAACTCATCTCTTGATTCTTGGAGTAATATCATCTTCCTTGAAGGACAAAGTGAGAAGCAGTGGTTTCCAACAGTAACACATCCCACTTTCTTCTCCTAGCGTTTACAAGTACTTCTGAATGAACTTCATCGAATAACCATAGTGGTGTAGACATCGTTCGATTAGTTGAAATTCTTCTTGCACTTTTTCTTAAGAACATTATCTAGAATGACTTGTAAATACCTGCTAAGTGGTTATATATTTGAGTCAGTTAAGCGGACATTTTCTGAATATAACTACATTTACGATATCAACTTCAATCCGTTTATGAACACTACCTACCGGTTTACAGTTTACCTTATTTACCACTGAGGTAAGTGGACTTAAATCACCATTGTGAATGAAAATGACTCAGTATCTAACAAGTTCTACACTTCCTTATCTCTGTAAAAATTAAGATTATCAAGTTTTGTTTTCGTTTTCAGTGCAAAAATTATAGTTAGTTAGAAACTATAAGTGTTTAAACATCTGTAAGTGCATCTGTACTGAGGTGGAGAATTGTTATCAAAAATAAATAACATTACCCACAGTAAACTTTAACAAAACACTTGTAAATTATCCACAGGTATAAAAAGTAAGCGTTATGATATCTTCTAGATTTGTATGCACTCTAAAATTATCAATTAAAGGACCATATGTAGCAAGAAACCAGGAACAAATTACTAGTAAAATCTGTAAGTCAACTGTATTCGTCCACACCCCATAAACTCCAAAAGTGAAACAATGAAAACGAAGCACACTCAGCCACCCTGTATACATCCATGTAGTAGACAATGAGCCACACCTATTGTGTGAGGGTTAATGATACTACTTAGCTGCCCAAACCTCGATAGGTGGAGCAGGGTTCGAACCCATAATCAATGGTTGAAATTCATCTCCCCAAACTACCAAGCCAAAGATCAGTCTTGTAATAAGTCAGAAATCCCTCCAGCAAACCTAGACTGATTATAACAGGAATGTAGCCGTTTACAGGATTTTCCACCACTCCTATCCAAGCTATATGGTAAACTAGGAAATACATTGAATGTCAAACCTGCCAATAGTATATAATTACCGGAACTTCAGTAGACGGGTTGACGTTCGAATCATTTGATAAGGCAGTTGAAAGCTGTTTAGTGTAGACTTCTCGACTGCGGACAACGTGAAAACTGAAAACGATGGCCAGAGACTCTAAATTGTATGGCTCAGGATCGATATCAGTGGAACAAACGTATATATATATATATATATATATATATATATATATATATATATAATATTATCCTGGCCATCATGTCATATTTCGTTATTGTTTTACCTCCTATTCATCTTCCCTATTTCTCCATGTCACATCTTTCTATCTTCATGTGTTGATATGAAGTGAGGTAACTTGAACCGTCATATATTAGTTCTAGGTCCCACGTTGATATTGACTGCATGGTTTTGAAAGCCTTAAACTTCAACCAATGATCCATAACTACTATTCTCAATTAGATTAATTACGTCAATAACAAACTGCTGCACTTCGTTCTTATTTGAAATGTCAGTTTGTACAAAAAGTCGATGATTATGCTTCTAGTACTTCAACCGACAGATGTTAAAAGCATATAACTGTTATCGCAGTGATAAAGAAAATAAACATTGACAAAAAGTAAGCAAACCCAGTAGTTACTAGACTATGTGTTACTGTTTTAAATTGAAGATCAGTAACAACATCCTATTGCACAAGGTGAAAGGAGTAGGGAACTACCTAAAACGAGTGGCCCCATTATTTTAAGTAATGATTAAACGCTAACAAATATAAGCGATATCAGAACAAATTATTCTTCAGTTAAATGATTTCTGTAGATAATTTTCATCATAAACTGACGTTGCTTAGGAAGTTATTGTCCCGCCTAGAAAGTAACCAGCACTATACACTCGTTAACCCAGACGTGGTTAAGCTTAAAGCCTCTAGATCTCATAATGGGCCGGTTAGGGACCAACCAGTGGCTCTGAATGCAACTTTAACATCTTCCGAACTTACGATAAGTAGCGATCATAGACAAAAGTCGTAACTGGACACCCAACCTCAGCTATGACTTGAAAAACCCCACGGGTTATGGTTTCCTATTGTATCGTCGGTGAATTCATCTCAAAATCGATCACTGAATAACTGTCGATTCATACTGACAGCTAGCTGGGTCTGCGAAATGTGAAGTAATATATTCCAACCCACTTCCTGGCAAGCCATTTTCTCACCATAAGGTCTAAACTTCCTGGTCTTTATTTCTCTTCGGTTGTAATGTATGTGCTGATGATAAGCTCCAGACTGGAATCGAACTGCTGTCCTACACTTCCTTGGTCCAAATGGTTTCTTAGTTGTTGTCAGTTGACATAAAAACTCACCAATTTGATAACCATATTCATAGGTACATCAGTTAGATGGCAAATGACATTTTTGATTGCTACGTAAATAATAACTAAGGGCTGAATGCTTCTAGTTGTAAGAGGGAGTAACAAAAGGATTCGAGCGGGCAACACACAACAAACTAAGAGCGTTACAATTTTAATACAAAATAAAGTATGTTTGGAAGAAGGCTAGTAATGTGCAAAACACAATAGAACTTACATGTGAAAAGAATATAATGTCTTGGATTACGAACCAACCAAGTTATTCATAAAATTTATTTTATATCCTCATAACAACTTCCTTGATTAATGTATGCTTGCTTTCCAATAGTACAGTATTTTTAAATACATTTCGTAGTTAATCTGATTAAAATGCCACCTGCTAGTGGCTGTAGTCAGACTCTAAAATCACACGAAATTCGTAAACAGAGCAAGCATTTTGATTGGTTGAACCAATCAGGTCAATGAAAAAGTTGATGTCGCTTATTGGTCTAGCCTGAAAGACCAATGTCTATGCAAAATAAGACTGTTTATTGTCTGACCTGTGTAGAAAAAGGTTACAAGCACTAATATGTTTAAAGGGTTACTCTCTTGTAAACAATGGGAACATTATTATCCAAAAAAAATCATTCTTATTATGAGTCATACAGCATTATCAATCAGGGTGTAATTGTGTGTCACACAGAAGCTGGTTAATTAAACTCTAAAATATGTGCAAATTAGTTATTTCCTTCTGCAGCAAGATATGGCAAGATATATCACACAACATGTCACACAATAAAGGTAATTCTTAATTGTATGACCAACATTTTTTTTCGAACTTGGTAAATTCCATTTTTCATACTAACTGGAAGAATAAACACAGAGAAAAAAGTAGAAAATAAATCAAAGTTCCTTCTGGTGAGAAGGAAGACGAACATTTTCTCTATTTATCAGCAGACATACAAGTTAACAGTCCAAATTAATTGCTTCTTACCCTAGTAATTACTTGTTTACCTTAGTAACATAGTGTGACTACCAGCAATTAATTTATAAACACACTTTCATATTTTAATGCATTGTTAAAAGGATACGGATGCAAAAGTATAACTGAATCTTATTGACTGCGTACAAGTTTACTGATGAGGTTCAAACTGACACCTACTCTGTCTGGGGCAATAACTCCACCTTGTGGATAAAACGTAGTTAGGTAGAGCAAGATTGTATCCATGGCTCTTGACTAAAAGTTTCCTGTCTGACTCAATCGACTGTATGAAGCAAACACTATAATATAATTAATATCTAGACAGTATCGAGGCGTCCGCATAAAAGCCCATCTGCCAACAGAGACTGAGTAATCCAACCTAGTAGTAGAGCAACGGGAAGTTACAGATATCAAACAAGAACGAATGATATCCGTCGCACAAACGGTGGTTGTCGTGCTCCAGTGGCCCTGCGAATAACTCTTTGGCATCTGAAGTGAAAGATACTGCTTTTGAGTCTCAGTGGGAACAAAATGACTCACTGGGGGTGCAGCTGCATTTATCTGATGAGTCCTAAATAGGATGAAACGTGCATCCTATATTCCACTGCTGGCCACCAAGCAGATAACAACACAAATAGTCAGCAGACAGTATCGAGGCATCCTCAAAAGACCCCATCTGCCAACAGAGGTCGATCAATTCGACTGTATATAACAACCGAAAATTGCACATATAGAAAACGATATTGTACTGTATCGAAATGCCTACTCAGCGAAGAGTATTGACATGTCTATGGGAAGTTTCAGATACAGAAAGCTATCATGAACAGGACAGTTTTTTCACTTCATAAGCTTCTTTCCAAATGAGTTCGAAAGGAACTAGGTTGAAACACTGTTTAACAGAGTAAAAAAGTTTATTCTGACAACATATTTGACCTCGGAATCGTTGCAAGGGACTTGTTAAACTAAGTTATTCTTGTTAATTGAATCAGTAGGGTCTTTTAACCTGCAAAGCCAGTTTCTAAATTTAAATGCCACTCTAATCCCAGAGTTATTGAGAATCCTACATAGTGCTTCTGAGGTGCCTTCTTTGTATAGTAATACTGTAGAGGTTTTGAATTCTCTCTTCACATTATTGCCACTACAGTAATTATCAACTAAGGTTTATTCTCACAGCATTATCGATTATGAAGTTGAGGCTGTAAGAGGTATTCTGCATGAATATGGATATCCAGAAAAATTCATTAACAAGTGTACTTAAAGTATCAAAGGTGAAAGGAATATCCTTAATCCCTCCCCCGTTCAAGAAGAAGGCAACACATGTCAATATGCCATTTAAAGAAGACGACATGAGTGAAGCAGACAAATAGAGGCTCGATAAAGCTACTAAACAACCTTATTATACTACATAAATTGTTTTCCCCCATTGTAACAGCCACACAATTATAAGTTACCAATTAACCACACCTCTAACTGCCTATATCACTTCGAGTATGTTTGAAGATATGAACACCAAGGGTCACTTGGAGAGGTGGCTATGTTCTCTTGGACTACAGTCATGAAAGAGTAGTTTCTAGTGATCACTAGTCAACAAAATAAGAAAATGGATGCAATCGTAAAAGCTTTTGCCATTCGACTGTACAAGCTTAGCATCTATGTACACAAAGAAATGATAATTAATTTGAATCCATACTGGATGATGACTAGAGGTGAAATGAAAATTCGGACCGCTGCCGGATTCGAACCAGCGACCACCTGGTTTCCGGCCCGATGCTCTACCAACTGAGCTACCAGGCCCATCAAGATGGTAGTTTTTATCAATTACCAGTGTTATTATTTGGATACATTTATGTTTGTCTTATTTCCATGTTATTTCCAAATAGTCAACATTTAATGAACAGAATTGTTCAATGACCTTCGTTTCTCATTCATAAATATGCAAAGAAATTGAGGTACTGTGATAGATTACATTTTCATTTCGAGTTGGGGGTTTGCGAGGATTTACTGATCGATTTCAAACTGCTATTCGTCATTAACTGACATCACTCAGAAGAACATTAAAACCTGGGAGCACTGGAAAGATCAGTTCGAATTAATCTAGTGCTCACTGGTGATTAGCTTCGAGAGATGATATCTGAAGTTCCAATGTGAAGTCGTGACCGGTGGGACAAACTTGGTGGACGTGAGGACAAATACTCAATGCAGACATTGGGTGATCGTTGCATCATATCATGAACTGACAGTGGTTGGAAATGACAAAGTGCTGGCCACGGAACTCGAAGGCTCTGGGTTCGACCTCTGGCTGGGTGGGGTCATGGAAGTGCACTGCTGAGGAGTCCCATACAGCTGTCCAGTGCTCCCAAGTTTCCAATGTTCCTCCAAATGATATCAGTCCACGATAAATACCAACTTGAAATTCCATTTTAGACTTTTTATTAGATATTACACAGTGAAGCATTACTAGTTAGCATTTTGGACTTCATCTATTCATATCAGGTTTACATAGATCTAATTTATTACAGGTAATTTTTAATCAAAGTGATAAGTTTGTATTTTGGTAATAGTTCTAATCCTGTCTTCTTCTCTTTGATAAGGGATTTTCCATGTATCTGGGACAGGTGTAGAATAATTTCTTTTACATGTATTAGATGTCGATTCGATAAACAAAGATTCGGTTAACAATCTCTCCCTCCAACCAACTAAGTTACCTTTTAATATTGTTGCTATACCCCCACACTAATGTGTGATTGTATGCAATTGCATCCTTATCTACAGCCGAACTTTTCTTTACATTGCTTATCTTATTAGGAGCTACTAATCTTGATTTAGCTGAGGTTTTGTGCTCGAACAGACTAATTTAACCTGATTGACTATTTCAATCTATGTGTTTGAACTCACAATAATTACAACGGTTTTGGCAGACTAAATTATTTTGCCCAATTGGATCAATAGGATTTTTCAACCTAAAACGTGTGTATCTAAGTGAGCTTGTAGGTTTAAATGCCATTGTAATTCCAGCCTTGTTAAAAATTCTATGTAGTGCTTCCTAAGTGATGGTATTCACCATACTGTAAGTAATGTATCATTAATTTAGGCTATAACACGTTTATGTATTATATATACAATCATGTAAGTACTCTATTGAAGCGGCCAGCTAAATAGTTCTAACCGACCCAATAAAATCTCAGTTGGCTGACAAATGTCATTTTGACTGTTCAGTAGCGTAGATCAAAGTGTGGAGCTCAGAAAATCTTCACCTAATTGTTCAATAACCGAAAATGTTGATTTCTCTTTTGGTCACCTTTTATCATGACTGTATAATTCCTATTTCGATGTCATATAGGAAAGATTCACCGGAAATGTTTTAGAGTGAAAGAAATTATTATAGATGAGTTACTTTCACTATGGAATAGCGAAAGAATTACACCAAGAAATACGCCTCCTGACGTGAGAATAACGCAACCACTTGAGATATGAATGCTAAATCCTGCCGCGGTTTCCTCAGAATATTCATACTATGTTTGATCTACTTGATATCCTAAATGTCGACAAGATGGTTCTCATGAAGACTGCACTCTGAACACTTCTGGACTACATGAGTAATTATAGACCAACAAAGACAATTAACGATTTCGTCGATGATTTATGTCTAACGTGGCAGAAACCGAAGATCTACAGGAGAAAACTAACAAGTTGGCAGAAGAGACTAGGCAGGTCAGCGAAAACGAGACTTCCTTCAGGTGAACGTGGAGAAGACAGAGTTAATGAAGATAACCAACCACCACCAACAACAACGGGCATCAATCGCCATCAACGGGAGAAATCTAAAGGGAGTTATCCGTTTCACCTACCTAGTCAGCATCGTTTCAACTACAGGCGGCAAAAGCACAGATAAGGACGTCAAAGCCAGGATGGGAAAGACAGCAAGACAAGCCTTCCTTCATTAATCTGAAATAATCAATGTGGAGATCTACTGCACTGCACTACACCCAGCATAGAGAATAATATCCGAACTGTTAACACTAATGTCAAGTCAGTGCCTCTATGTGATGGTCAAGAGACTTAGGGTGTAACGAAAAGTATTCCCAACAAACTATAGATATATATCAACAGCTGCCATCTACACTCACTCGATACTGAAGATCAGATGACCAGATAGAATAAGCAACAAGGAACTCTGGCATGACAACGAATCAACCAAGAACCTATTGCTTAACAAATATGCAGAAGAAAGTGGAGATGGATTGGACTGGCCATACTCTGAGAAAACCATTCGGGGACATCACGCGCGAGGTCCTCGAGTGAAACCCAATTAGGAAACGACGAGTTGGGCGTCCGAGGCGAGGGCGGCATCGAGATCATGTGAGGAAGAAATTAGAGCTTGTGGGCAGTCGTGAAGCCAGGTTCAAAAGACTG